AAGAAAAAAATCATATTGGTATAGGCACTGACTTCCTTAAAAAGACCCCTACAGCTCAATAAATAAAAATAGGAATCAATAAGTGAGATGACATAAAATTAAAAAGCAAAGAAAATGATTTAAAAGTGTGAAGAGAAATCTTATAGGAGAAAATCTTTGCCAGCTACTCATCTGAGGAATACTATCCAGAATATATATAAAGAACTCAAAAATCTTAACACCAAAAAAAACCTCCAAAAAAACAAAAAGCAAATAACCCAATCAATAAATGGGCAAAAAAATGAAAGAGACATTTCTCTAAAGAAGAACTACAAATGGTCAATGAATATATCAAAAAAAAATTCAACATCCCTAGGAATCAGGAAAATGCAAATCAAAACTTCTTTGTGACTTTAATACACCTCTTTCACCACTGGATAGATCTTCCAAAGAAAAACTAAACAAAGAAACTACAGAGCTAAGTAATACAATCAACTATTTAGACTTAACAGACACAGAGTATTTTATCAATCATCAAGCAAATATACCTTCTTCTCAGTAGCACATGGATCCTTCTCTAAAATAGACCATATATTATGCCACAAATACAAAAAAAATAGAGATACTACCCTGAATTCTATCAGATCTTAATGGAATGAAATTAGAAATCAATGAGAAAATTAAAAATAGAAGCTACTCCATCACATGAAGACTAAATAATATGCTACTGAATGAACAATGGGTAGCAAAAGACATCAGTGAGGAGATTAAAAAATTATTAGAGAACATATCAAAATACATAAATACAACATATTAAAATCTCTGGGACACTATTAAGGCAGTACTAAGAGGAAAGTTCATTGCATTTAGCTCATTCATAAAAAGAATAAAAAGTCAACAAATAAATGACCTAACATTACATCTGAAAGTCCTAGAAAAGGACGAACAAATCAACTCCAAAAGCAGAAGACAGGAAATAATTAAAATCAGAGCTGAAATCAATGAAATTGAAACAAAAGAAACAATTGAAAAAAACTGACAACAAAAAGTTGCTTCTTTGAAAAAATAAATAAAATTAATAAACCCTTAGCCATGCTAACGAAGAGGAGAGAGAAAACTCAAATTACTAATATTTGTGATGAAAAAGGAAATATCACGACAGATACTATTGGAATACAGAAGATAATTAGAAACTAGTTTGAAAATTTATACTGCAATAAATCTCTAAGACATCAACAAATTTCTAGAGACATATGATCTGCCCAAACTGAATCAGGAAGACATAGAAAATTTAAACAGATCAATTGCAAGCAATGAAATTGAAGACACCATCAAAAGCCTACCAACCAAGAAAAGCCCAGGACCATATGGATTCTCAGCTCAGTTCTGCAAGACCTTCAAAGAAGAATTAAAAACAATACTTCCCAAATTATTCCATGAAATAGAAAAACAGGGAAACCTTCCAAACTCATTCTATGAGGTTAGAATCACCCTGATAACAAAACCAGACAAAGACACATCAAGGAAAGAAAACTTCAGACCAATATCCCTGGTGAACATAGACACAAAAAATTCTCAATATAATTCTGGAAAATTTAATACAAAAACATATTTAAAAGATAGTGTGCCATGATCAAGTGGGGTTCATCCCAGGGATGCAAAGTTGGTTCAACATACAGAAATCAATAAACATAATACATCATATGAATAGACTTAAAGCCAAGAATCATATGATTATCTCAATAGATGCAGAAAAAGCATTTCACAAAATACAGCATCTCTTCATATTCAAAACAATTTAAAAACTAGGGATAGTAGGAACATACCTCAACATTGCAAAAGCTATCTATGCTAAGCCCAAGGCCATCATCATTCTAAATGGAGAAAAATTGAAAGAATTCCCTCTAAAAATTCCCTCTTTCACCACTTCTATTTGAAACTCTAGCCAGAGTGATTAGAAAGACAAAAGAAATTAAAGAGATACAAATAGGAAAAGAAGAACTAAAACTACCACTATTTGCCAATGACATGATTCCATAATTAGAAGATCAAAAAATTCCTCTAGAAAACTTCTAGAACTAATAAATGAATTCAGAAAAATAGCGTGATGTAAAATCAACACCTATAAATCAAATGCATTTCTATAAATAAGTGATGAATCCACTGCAAGAGAAATTAGGAAAACTACCCCATTCACAATAACCTCAAAAAAAAAAAAAGAAAGAAGGAAAGAAATACTTGGGAATCAATCTAACAAAAAAGGTGAAAGATCTCTACAATGAAAACTACAGAACACTAAAGAAAGAAACTAAAAAGACCTTAGAAAATGAAAACATCTCCCATATTCTTTGATAGGCAGAATTGATATTGCCAAAATGGCCAAACTACCAAAACTGTTATTCAGATTTAATGCAATTCCTATTAAAATCCCAATGACATTCTTCATAGAACTAGGAAATGCAATCATGAAATTCATGGAAAAATAAGAGACCCAGAATAGCCAAAGCAATCCTTAGTAAAAGAGTGATGCAGGAGGCATCCAATCCCAGACCTTAAACTATACTACAGAGCAATAGTAATAAATACAGTTTGGTATTGGCATCAAAATAAACATGTAGACCAATGATACAAAACAGAAGACACAGAGATAAACCCATGTAAATACAGTTATCTCATAGTAGACAAAGGCACCAAAATCATACATTGGAGAAAAGATAGCCTATTCAACAAATGGTTCTGGGAAAACTGGAAATTCATATGTAGCAAAATTAAATTAATCCTGTCTCTCTCTCTCTCTCACCCTGCACTCAATTCAAAGTGGATCAAAGACTTAGGCACTAAAACAGAGACCTTACACTTTTTTTTTCTCTGTTTAATGTTAATCTTTTCTTCCTGCTCTTCCTCCCTGCTCTGTTCATAGTTGCTCTCATTATATCAAAGAAGACATTTGGTATTTGTTTTTTAGGGATTGACTAGCTTCACTAAGCATAATCTGCTCTAGTGCCATCCATTTCCCTGCAAATTCTATGATTTTGTCATTTTTTATTGCTGCATAGTACTCCATTGTGTATAGATGCCACATTTTTTTTATCCATTCATCTATTGAAGGGCATCTGGGTTGGTTCCACAGTCTAGCTATTGTGAATTGTGCTGCTATGAACATCAATGCAGAGACCTTACACTTAATAGAACAAAAAGTAGGCCCAAATCTTCATCATGCTGGCTTAGGACCTGACTTCCTTTACAAGACTCCTAAAGAGCAAGAAGTAAAATTAAGAATCAATAAATGGAATTGATTCAAATTAAAAAGCTTCTTCTCAGCAAAGGAAACAATCAATAACGTGAAGAGAAAGCCTACAGGATGGGAAAATATCTTTACCACATGCACATCAGATAGAGCACGAATCTCCAAGATACATAAAGAACTCAAAAATCTTAACACCACAAAAACAAATAACCCAATCAATAAATGGGCTAAGGAACTGAACAGACACTTCACAGAAGAAGAAATACAACTGATCAACAAATATATGGCAAAATGTTCATCATATCCAGCAATTAGAGAGATTCAAATCAAAACTACTCTAAGATTTCATCTCACTCTAGTTGGAATAGCAATCATAAAGAATACAAGCAATAATAAATGTTGGCGAGGATGTGGGGAAAAAGGTTCACTCATACCTTGCTCATGAGACTACAAATTGGTGCACACCACTTAGGAAAGCAGTATGGAGATTCCTCAGAAAATTTGAAATGGAACCACTATTTGACACAGCTATCCCACTCCTCGGTTTATATCCAAAGAACTTAAATTCAGCATACTACAGTGATGCAGCCACATCAATGTTTATACCAGCCCAATTCACAATAGCTAAACTATGGAACCAACCTAGATGCCCTTCAACAGATGAATGGATAAAGAAAATGTGGCACATATACTAATGGAATAATAGTTAGCCTTAAAGAAAAATGAAATTATGGCATTTGCTAGTAAATGGATGGAACGAGAGAACACCATGCTAAGTGAAATAAGCCAATCCCCCCAAACCAAAGGCCAAATGTTTCGTCTGATAACACTCTGTGCTATGTTAAGCAGATGCTGATCCATAGTTGGGGGGTGGGCTTAGGAAAGAATGAAGGAACTTTCCTTTGAATCTTGCAGAGGGGAGTGAGGGCAGGGGTGGGGCTAAGGGGATGGGAAGTATGGTAGGATTAGACAGACATTATTACCCTATATACATGTTTGATGACACTACTGGTATGACTCTGCACCATGTACAGCCAGAGGAATGAGAAATTGTGCTCCATTTGTGTACACTGTCATGTTTAACTAATTACAACAAATTTTAAAAAATGGAAGGGAGGACCAGTAGAATAGAAGAAGAGGATAAGGGGGAAGAAGAGTATGTAAAAAAAATCCTTATCATGCCTGCAAGGGACCATACACTGCAGCTTCTGCCACTTCTCCAACTTTATGTTAAGCAACTCTCTTCCTTGTTTAAATATTCCATAGGTCCTCAGAGAGGCCAAATTGTTTCCCAATGTGAAAACTTATATTTATTCCACCCAAAGAATCTTTTTATCCCAGTCTTGGCTTGGACTTATTCTTCAGGTCTAGGCTTAAATATCGTTTTCTCAGAGAGGTCTATCATGATCCCTCAATTTAATTTAGGATTCTCTTTATTCTAATAGCACCACTAACTTTTTTTCCTTCATAGCACTTCCTTACAATTTTTACCCTTATATTTGTATGATCATTTGTTTGCTGTCAGTATTTCCTGCTAGAGTGTTGGCTCCATGAAAACAACATTGTAACCCAATGCTTTTTCATTCCATAGGCCATCACTGCTAAATGAGTGAATTTTCACAAGGACCTTGATCTATCCTGATACCCTTATTAGAAGATTTGTCCACCACTATTCCTTTGAGAGTAATAGCCAAAAATAATAATAGAAATAAGATTAGTTGTAGGGTGGGCAATTCTTTGTATCAAATGTTTTCTGGTTAATTTAAAAACATACTTCTCACCTGATCATTTTTTTGTTTTTCCTGTATTTTAAGCCTCTCCAGCACAGAGTGTAGATGACTCTGGAAAACAAAATTGTATGAATGATTACTGCTGAGTCTCAAAGGAAAAGAGAACCAAGGGAAACACTTCGTTAAATGATTTGATAAGAAAACTGTCAGTTTTATAAAATACACTCCTTTTCAAGAAATTAGTGTGTAAAAACTACTCCCTAACTATGTGCTATCCTCTTTGATTTTATACACTCTACACAGCAGGCTTTTTCTAGTTTAGCATAAATCATTTGGCAATGGGGACCTATTAAAGAAGCTGTCTTGGATTCTGGTGCTAATTTCTCCTCCACTTTTGATTCCTACTTAATTTCCACTCACTACAGCAGAATATTGCTAATCTTAACTAATAGCACTCATAGTGACAATAACCATAATAATACCACATACCTATATTTTTAGGAATATGTTCATAGCTATTATCTTTGGCTATTCTAAAAGAAAACTCCCAGAGTGGGTACAGTTTGTGTAAAGTTGCTCCCCTTCTATGACTACCGTTCTACAGGGAATGAAATCTCGTAAATAATTATCCAGATGCTTCAGAATTTCTCTCACTATCATGAGGGAAGCAAATGTTGCCTAAACACACATTTTCCTTTTGTTGATGCTCTTAAACATGTAATAATAAAAATAAGGCAACATATTTGTTCTTATTTAAGCATGCATCAGAAAAATTTAAAAATGAATTTAGCTAATTCTTTTCACTGAAATGAGTACATTTTGGTACAAATAACAGGGTTAAATCTATGCCCTACCATTTATTGTGATTCTTAGTTACTTAAACCTCTTTGAGGTTCAATTCTTTAATTATAAAATGGGAATGATGAATGTATCTGTTTCAGAGCTCTGAAGATGAAATGAGATGATACAAAGCTCTTTATGTAAAAAAAAATAAATAAAAGCTCTTTATGTGCTAATTGCATAGTAAATGCTCAATACTGGCATTTCTTTTGTCAAGTCACCTGTTAACCTCTATGAAATGCTTACATTAGATGACCAAAATTATGTAGGTAAAATGAAACAGGGCTTTTATTGGAGGTTTCTAAGAGGTTTTTTATGTTCATGAATGAATAAAAATACTGTATAAATATATGTGTGGAAATACAAAGATAGAGATTTTGAAAGTAAGATATCAGGATTTCTTTATACCAGCCATCAATAACTTACCTTGAGAGTCAGGTTTTCCACTTTTCTGATGAGATCCTTTTGTCTTTGTGCTTTGCTCTGAATCAGCTGGAGCTTTTTCTCCTTGTAATGAATGTGCTTCTGAATCTCCACAACTAACCGAAGTAGAGAGAGACTTTATATGTTTGAATGTAGCCTAAACTAATAGACTGAGATTCAAGTAAAGTAAAACCACTAGATATCTAAGCAAGGACTCTCAAATTTGGTCTTACATCTGTTGTGTATTTAGCCTTAAGCTTTAGCACTGCCACTCATCTCTGTCCCATCCCTTGTCTTTTCCTCTAACTTACCTATTGAATTGACACTTTCCTTTGTCTCATACTGGCTACATTCAAAAATTTTGGCCTGTAGCTCCCTTTCTAGAGCCTCTTCAGAATCATCTTCCTCGACCTCTTCCTCTTCCTCCTCCTCATCTTCATCTTCATCATCTTCATCATCATCTTCCTCCTCTTCCTCCTCCTCATCTTCCTCATCCTCATCCTCATCCTCGTCATCATGATTATTACTGCTGGAATCACTGAACATCTCCGGAAGCATATCATATTCTATTGGTTTTAAACAAAAGGAGAATGAAAACTCTGAAGCTTTACAAATGACTCCCACTCCAGATACAATTATACTCCTTACCCTCAAATCCACTGGGCAATCAGTGGATTTTATAAATGTATTTTTTTTCCTTGCAGGAAGATTATTCCCTTCATGAAACAAGGAGAGGAAATACAAACACTAACATTCATTCATGTATTCCATGACCAAGACATTTAGAGAATCTAAGGGTCCATAGGAAGTTGAATACCAGGGATGGATGGGAGGTAGAATTCTAATCTAGAACACTTAAGGCACTGGAGAACCAATAAAAGGGAAGAAGGACAAAGGTATCCTTTTTCTATGACTGGCCTGTGAATCTCTGAATAATGATCTGGCATACAGTTAATGCCTGCACTTATCTGAAGCTCCCGCTCTGTCTTTACTAAAATACCTGAGATATGGCCCTGCTTGTAGCCACTCATTCCTGGGGATATTGGAAAGCCTGGAATGCAGCCTTGACTTTCTATTTCCTTGGTTTCATCATCAGCAATGACTTCCCATCCTGAAAGGAAGAGGCAGTCAAGGGAAAAACAAAGGGAAGGGAGAAGGCACTGTTGAAATGGAAGAAGCTACCTGCTAAAAGTGCTATTTAATTTTGTCCAACTTTAAGTCATTTGTATCTTTATTCCTAGTGTGGAGATGTGGCTTATATTAAATTACACAATAAATAAATTTCTATTACATGTATTTACTGTTCCTAGTTATTAAGTAACATTTCTCAAAAATCTCAAGTACTGTATATATACTTCAAAATTGGTTCACAAATACTGGAAGTGACATTTGTCAGCACATGCACATGGGGTGGAATAGACTATACAGAAAATATTTGGTACAAAGGATACGGGCACTAACAGCTTCAGCATCTGAACACAGCAGTCTCTTCACTTCTTTCTCCACATCTGGAGAGTCAATGTACTGAAGCAAAGTACAGGAGGGAATACCAGCGGCTTCATTTGACAAGCTATGCTTTGCAGGATTGCTTTTTTCCTATATACCAAGGAATTCAAATGATTAGTGCTCATCACATGCTCATCCTAGATGCTCAAAGTTCTAGTTTATTCATTTTTATTTTAAAAATATATATTTTAGTTGTAGCTACAATACCTTTATTTATTTATTTTTATGTGGTGCTGAGGATCAAGCCCGATGCCTAACACATGAGAGGCAAGCACTCTACCACTGAGCCACGACCCCAGCCCTTCAATGTTCTATTTTAAATAGTGATATTTATCACAAATTGGTGTGAATATACTATGTATACAACCAGAGATATGACAAATTGTGCTCTATATGTGTAATAAGAATTGTAATGCATTCTGCTATCATATATAAATAAAAATAAATAAATTTTAAAAATAGTGTGATATTTATGAAAGAATCTTTAGCCAGGGTCTATATTTTTGTAAAGTAAGCTTATTATTCCCAATTAAACAAATTATTTGAGACATTTAAACTTTTCAGCCTGCAATTCTATAGTAAAGACCTCCTTCAGAGGTACAATCCTTAGGCTCAGTTATTGCGTATTTGCCCTGATTCTTACTGGCAAAGAACTATAATACCTATTAGTTATTTAGAAATAATTTGGTTTAAAGATCCAAATTCCTAGATTTCACCTCCCTGTATCTTTATTATTAGAGATGTTCGTATAAAAACTTAATCCTAACTACATGTTCTCCCTTTAATCCAGCTTTAGACAATTATCTCCACAGCAACCAATTTGTCATGCCACAAATAGAAATCAAGAGGAAATAAGCAATTAATTGTAAATAAATGTTGGTAAGAGTGAATCCTGGCTTCCAAGGAGTGGCTTTTGAAATAAAATCAGATAAAAAGCAGACTGGAATATACAGGGCCACTGGCCACACTGTATCTTTTCATTTAGGAATTACTGGACATTCAACAATGAATTCATTATTCAGGAAATCAAATCTAGTATATGTATATGGGGAGTGGGTGTTAAAAGTGAGAAGGAAGGCTCAGAAGTAACCTTTATTATTTATATTATTTGTTTGGAACTAGTGAGCTATTTAAACACATTAAAAGTAAATGATGATGTTACATTATGATTTTTCTACCTCAGTAAAGGTGATTTCTTCAATTTGCTTGAAATCAGCAGTCTATGAAATAAAACATAATAAACAGTGAAGTTATTTTATGATTGCTCTATTTCAGTAAAGCTTCAAGAGCGCTATAACTATTCTTTTTTTAATATTTTTTTTAAGTTTAGTTGGACACAATACCTTTATTTTATTTATTTATTTTTATGTGGTGCAGAGGATTGAACCCAGCACCTCGCACATGCTACGCAAGTGCTCTAATGCTGAGCCACAACCTCAGCCCCATACAACTATTCTGAACTTAGTTTTACATTTAGTAGGCCCTCAATAAATGCTGCTGACTAACAAGAGTATAAAGCCCAGGCAACACATGGATTGAAAAACTCAAGAGTAAAGATATCAGTTCTCCCCAAACCGATCTATAAGTTTAATGCAATTCTGATCAAAGCAAGGCTTTTTGTAGATACAAACAAGCTTATTCTAAAATTTATACAGAAATGTATAGGCTCTAGAATGGTTTAAACCATCCTGACAAAGAAAAATGAAGTGAGAAGTTTTCTGATTTTTAAAACATTTCTTTGAGATGTGCTGGAGAGATTGACACATGGATCAGTTGAACAGAATAAAGAACCCAGAAATAAACACTCACAAATACGTCCAACTGATTTTTGGCAAAGGTGTAAAGGAAATAATACAATAAAGGAAGAATAATAAATGGTTCTGGATCAATTGAACATTCTTAAGCAAAAAAAAAAAAATGAACCTGGAACTAAACCTTATACTTTTACAAAATTAACTAAAAAATGGATTGGAGACTTAAGTATAAAATGTAAAACTTTTAGAAAAGAAAAAGGAGAAGGTATTTGGGATCTGGGCTAAGAAAGACTCCTTAGATTTAACACAAAATGCAAGATCCCTTAAAGAAAATAAATTTAATAAATTAGACCTCATCAAAACTAAAGCTTTTGCCCTTCAAAAGATCCTGTAAAGAGGATGAAAAGATGAAGCTACAGTCTAGGAGAAGATACTGGCAAACTACACATATGATCAAAGACTTGCATTCAGTATATGAGGAAAACTCTTCAAACACAACAATAAAGTCATTTCAGAAAATGAGCATAAGGCATGAACAGATGCTTTACTAAAATGTATATATCTGTGCAAAATGAACACATGAGATGTTCAATATTGTAGCTATCAGGGAAATACATACAAATTATTATTGCAATGAAATCACTATATACCTATCAGGATGGTTAAATTTTTAAAAATGGTGATATTATGGCTTTTGGGGAACAAAGGCAGAATGTTACGGTTTAGATGTGGTATACCCCCCAAAACCTCATGTGTGAGACAATGCAAGAAGGTTCACAGAGAAATGATTGGGTTGTGAGAGTCTTAATCAAATTAATGAATTAATCCTCAGGGATTAACTAAGTGGGAACTGAAGTGGTAAGGTGTGGCTAGAGGAGGTGGGAATTGGGGGTGTGGCTTTAGGTATATATTTGGATCTAGTGAGTGGAGTCTCTCTGCTTTCTGATCACCATGTGAGCTGCTTTCCTCTGTCACACTCTTCCTCCATGATGTCCTGCCTTACCCCGAGCTCTAAGGAATGGAGCTGGCCTTCTATGGACTAAGACCTCTGAAACTGTGAGCCCCCACATAAACCTTTCCTCCTCTACAATTGTTCTGGTCAGGTCTTTTAATCACAGCAGTGGAAAAGCTGGCTAAAACAGAAATTGGTACTGAGAGTGGGATTTATTGTTGTGATTAGCCTGACCATGTGGTTTTTGATCTTTTGGGAATAGGTGAGAGGAATTTTGAGATGTGTGGCAGTGCAAGCTGGAAATGCTTTAGATTGTTGTAAGTGGAGTTTACAGGGCTATTATAGGGGAGCTCAGAAGACCAGAATGCCAATAGGATCGTGGTCAGTGAAGACAGGGCTCAAGAAGGTTCAGAAAAGGAGAACTCTATTGGAATTTGGAGTAGAGGCCATTCATACCATTCATGTTATGTTCTGGCTGAGAAGTTGTCTACATTTTGCCACTGTCCTGAGACTTTCTGTGGAGATTATTTTAAAAGCAATGGACTTACTTTTTTAAATGTTTTTTTAGTTGTTAGTGGACCTTTATTTTTTATTTATGTGTGGTGCTGAGACTCAAACCCAGTGCCTCAAACATGCTGGGCAAGCACTCTGGCAACTGAGCCACAACCTCAGCCCCCAAGCAATAGACTTTTTAATCTGGTAGAAGAAATGTCTAGGTAACATAGCATTCAGATGTCGGCATAGATATTGCTGGCAAATTTTAGCCAAATTTATTGTGATATTCAGGAGCAGAAAGCAGAGCAGAAATATTTGAAAAACTTGAACTTGAAAGGCAGGAGTAAAACTGGAGCTAAGAAAGTTGCAGTTGTTAAAGACATTACTGACACTAAAGAAATGCTAAGGACTTTGCCTAGAGACTATTAGAAAGATGGCTTAAGGGCATCTCAGGAGCTGGCAAGACCACACCTCTCTCAGGCTCAAGGGAGTAAAAGTGAAAATTCTCCTTTGAGAAGAGACCAGTGAGGAATCCTTCTGTACAAGGGGACCTGGAAAGCTTTTTCAATATGCTCAGCCACCAGGACACTGAGAGGCTGCTGCAGCTAGGGTCCATGGAGGCTTGGTACTGCTCAAGATGGCAGCAGACCTTGGCGTCAACCACATGGTGCTGGTTCTGCAGGAATGCAGGATGCTGAAGTTAGGGGGTCATGGAGGCTTCCACCAAGATTTCAAAGGAAGGCCTTGGAAGCCAGGCAAAGTGCAGCAGGGTCTGAGTCCCTGCAAGCACTCTCTGAGAAAGCAAGGTATGGAGATTTGAGGAGGAAGCCAAAGCTGCCGTGGAGACCCCCGAGATTAAGAAATGCCAGTGACAGGGGATACTGTCCTAGGAAAACCGCAGGAATTGAGCAGAGACAAGCCAAAGAAAAGCCACTTGCACTGTAACCAACATGGCCACAGGGGTGGAGTTATAAAAGCCTTTTGGAGAGAACATCACAATGCCATGTGCCCCAGATGCTGGACATAGAGCTACAGGACTTGTGTGCCCAGCTGGATTTCCATCTTCCCTTGGTCCTATCCCTTCTTTCTATGTCCCTAATTTGGAAATGGAAATGTTGACTCTGTACCATTATATACTGGGTACTTGTAAATCGCTTTTAATTTTACAGGAGCTCACAGTGTGAGTTGTCTTGAGCCTCAGAAAAGACTTTGGACTTGAACATTGAGCAATCTCTGAACTATTGACACTATGGGGACTCTTGGGAATGGACTAAATGTATTTTGCATCATCAAATAAGTATGAGCCTTTGGGGGCTTGGGACGGAATGTTATGGTTTAGATATGGTATCCCCCAAAAGCTCATATGTGAGACAATGCAAGAAGGTTCACAGGAGAAATGACTGGGTTGTGAGAGTCTTAACCCAATTAGGGAATTAATCCCCTGATAGGGATTAACTAAATAAGTAGTAACTAAAGTGGTAGGGTACGGCTAGAGGAGGGGGAAATTGGGCATGTGGCTTTAAGTTATATATTTGGATCTGGTGAGTAGAGTGTCTCTCTGCTTCCTGATCACTATGTGAGCTGCTTCTCTCTGACACACTCCTCCTCCATGATGTTCTGACTTACCTTGAGCCCTGAGAAATGGAGTCAGCCTTCTATGGACTAAGACCTCTGAAACTGTGAGTCCCAAATAAACCTTTCCTCCTCTGCAACTGTTCTGGTCAGGTCTTTTAATCACAGCAGTGAAAAAGCTAACTAAAAGATGACAACACCTAATGTTGATGAAGAGGTAGATAAACTGAATCACATTATTGGGGTGGAAATATAAAATGGTACCTTCCTCTGAAAAAAGCATGGCAGTTCCTTATGAAACTAAATGTGTAACTGCCATACAACCCAATAATTGCACTCCTGGGCATTTATCCCAGAGAATTGAAGATTTATGTTCACTCAAAAAACCTGTTCACAGTTTTGCTTAAAATGGTCAAAAACTAGAAACAACCCAGATGTCCAGTTAAACACATTGGTACATTCATATTAATTAATACTACTCAGCAATAAAAAGGAACAGACTATTGATGCATGCAAAACTTACATGTATCGTAAGGGCATTATGCTGAGTAGGGAAAAAGCTACTCTCAGATATTATATACTGTATGTTTCCACATAGATGATATCCTAAAAATTACAGAGATGAAAAACCAGGAGTGTAAGGTAGAAGGGAGGTGGGTATGATTATATGAGAGCAAGTTAAGAGATCCTTGAGGTGATGGAAGTGTAGTATTCTACCAATGTAGGTGAGTACATAAACCTTCACATGGGATAAAACTGCATAAAACTAAATACATGCACCAAACACATGAGTATAAGTAACATGGGATTTGAATAAGACTGGTGAACTGTAATAATGTTAGTTTCCTGTTTATAATTATTATATTATACATTTGAAAAATGATATAATGGGGGAAACTGGGAAAGGGGCATATAGTAGCTCTCTTTTATTTCTTAAAATTACATGTGAATCTAAAATTATTTCAAAATAAAAAGTTCAATTGAACAAAAGAAGTCAAACCACAGTACTCCTGTAGCTTACCAAAGTTTCTGCAAGCCTGAAGTAAGGTAAAGAATATAACCACAATTCCCAAATCTCAGGTTCTATATGGGTTCATTTTAAAACTATATCTTGAGGGCTGGGGTTGTGGCTCAGTGGTAGAGCACTCACCTAGCATGTGTGCACCCTGGGTTCAATCCTCAGCACAACATAAAAATAAGTAAATAAAATAAAGGTATTGTGTCCAACTACAACTAAAAATAAACATTTAAAAAAACCTATATCTTGAAATCCAAAAATAAAAACATGAGTTTCAAATTCATGGTCTTTTCCAGACCCCTAACAACTAGCCTTAAAAACAGGTCTATTTTTATTCATTGCTATATTCCCAATGTCTAACACACAGTGTCAAACATTTAGCCCACTTTCAAATGTTTAATGAACATAAATGAATGAGCAAATTAATTTTTAACTGACTTTCTTCCTTTTCTTCCCGCTCATTATCCTCTTCTCATCCACCCAGCAGACACACAAATAGCATGAGACTCACCTTTTTTTTTGTTTTCCGGAATCTTTTCTTTCTGACATTCTTAAGTGGTGGAGTAACTAAAATAAATACAACATGGTGAAACATACTTATAACTGAAGGTATTTACATGTCTATCAGAATTTGATAGAGGGATCATACTATAAGCTATTGGTTCATGACATGCCTTCCTTTAAGAGTGTTTGTGAGTCTAATAAACCAGGAAAGAGGTCCCTGATTCAGCAGATAAATACAGTCAGCCAGAATGAGCAAGGGGCAGGTGACTTACTGCCATGCTTCCAGATATATTTTTTTTCTGTTTCCCTTTCATTATTCCCTGTTATACTGACATCAGTAGAGGTAATTGGTTCTTCCAGAGAAGAGTGAAGATCAGCATCAGCACTGCACACAAGCATCTACATGCAAAGATAAAACATAAAAATAAATAAATAAAATAAAGGTATTGTGTCCAACTACACAATACCTTTTAGTAGCAAAGATAAAAAGTTGACTATAGCCACAAATCTTGGGTTAGTAATGAATCATGAACATTCTTACCACCATATATCCTGGAGCACAGAGGAGACTGATACTTGGTATTTCCAGAAAACCTAGTATTATGTAATATACATTCATATTCTCTCTCTTGCTTTCAAATTCTTTCTCCCTCTCTCATTCTTATTCTTTCTCCCTCTCCCCTCTCTCTCCTCTCTCTCCTCTCTCCAACAGCACTGTATATAGACTGTGAACTTTTTTTTTTAACTGGAGTGTTTACCATTGCAGAGAGAATATGTTAAAAATGCATACATCAAAAAAAATGCATACATCTTAGCATTTTGATCTAGAAAAGAAATTAGAAAGAAATAATAGAGATGATGAATAAGAACCAATTTAAAGCTCCAGAGTTAACATACTACTTTATGTTAAAGGTCAGAAGATTCCAGCTGTTCGTATTTTTTAATTTTTTTTTTTTAGTTGTCAATGAACCTTTATTTTATTTATTGATATGTGGTGCTGAGAATTGAACCCAGTGCCTCACACATGCTACGCAAGCACTCTGCCATTGAGCCACAACCCCGGCCCCATATCTTTTAATTAATAAAAATCACTATAAATGGCAAGTAGGTGATTACAAAAGATATTTGAATGAAATAAGGTAGGGAAATTTCAAGATAAAACACTAAATCAGAAGTTAATATTTTTTTCCTGTGCAATTTATCTGGAAATCAGAAATGGCAAGTAATCTTTTACTAAGTAGAAAGGAGTAATGGGAGAAAACAAAAGGGATTCTTGAAGGATGTGAGGGCTAGAATACTAAGACAATTAGTTCATACCTGGGAAATATCTGCAGTTTTATAAAAGGTTTTTTTATCAAGAGTTTTCAGGCTTCCAATGACACAAGGCAAATCAACCAGCTTAGCAGACAGTGAGACATCTTCTACCTCAACAACTGCGTGACGTCTATCAGCTAAAGAGAAGAGGAGAAGATTAAAGTTGACATTTTCCTGATGAATTCCTAAGCCTCCTAGGTTTTAAATAATGAAGACTTATGTGGAAAAGATTAGTTTTTCAGTGAAACCCACTATTTCTCAAAATGTTAGAACTATGTACACAATTGGTAAATTCTGAGAGAAAAGAAGGGAGAGTACATGGAGTTCATTATCCCAGCATATGTCACTCATTCAAAAGTAGCTAAGTTTCTTAGTAATGATTGTGAACTAAATTTGGTTGAAGGAGAAAATTTATCATTTTCATCCAGAAAGGCAAATTCAATTCATTTAAATAAATTCCTTATTTTATTTATTTTTAATTTTTTTTCATGGATCACTTTCTTTTTATAGAGAGGATAGAATATCATATATATTCTTTTTAGCATTCCTCTTTTAACTTTAACAGTGTATTCTGGAAGGCATACCATATCAGTTCATTGAAATCTTGATCATTCTTTTTTTAATAGATGCATAGTACTCCTTGTGGATTTATCATAGTTTATATAATCACTCACTTAATCTCTCTCCCATATATCTACATTTATTTCAAAACTTTACAATTACAAAGCATTTTATAATGAATAACCTCCTGCATACATATTTTTGTTTTATTGATGAAAGTATGTCTTCGGGGTACAGGCCCACAAAGTCACTTGTTGGACTGAAAGGTAAATGTACCTGTAATTTTATTAGGTATTGCCACATTTCCCAACAGAAGAGTTAAACAATTTGCATTCCCACCAGTAATGTATGGAAAGTGCCTATTTCTACACAACTTTGACAACAGATACATTCTTTATTTAAAAAAAAATTTTTTTAGTTATTGTAGATGGACACAATATCATTATTTTATTTATTTTTATGTGGTGCTGAAGATCAAATCCAGTGCCTCACACATGTGAGGCAAGTGCTCTACCACTAAGCTGCAGCCCCAGTCCCACATTCCTTATTTTTTAAGAGACATTCAATAATGTCATCATATATGTGTTTTCAAAGGGTTGGATGAAGAAAGAGCGTGATCTTACATTGATGCTATAAATCAAGTTAAAATCTCTAGCTGGGAGCGGCTGGGGTTGTGGCTCAGTGATAGAGCACTTGCCTCACATATGTGAGGTACTGGGTTCGATCCTCAGCACCACATAAAAATAAATAGAAATTTAAAAAAAATTAGTTGGCTTCACAATGATAAAACTCTATACTTCAGAAATGTTCTGAACTCTAAGTCATGCTCAAATGTCTCAAATATGAATAAAAGAGGATTTTGGTATAATTTTCTAATATTAAGTGAAAACAGAAGACACAGAACCATGTTTAACAAAATCTTTTTGTGTGAATTAACTTTTAAAATACAGAGAGATAATTTAGAGTATTATATATAAAACTTTCTCTGTAAGAAAACACAAGAAGAAATAATTAATACTGGCTATCTTTGGTATCAAGGTTGGGACACTGAAGCAGGCAAGCTTCATTTTTCCTTTTGAATTTAATTGTTTTAAGTTTTCTAACCATGAACTTGTATCATCTTTTATTTTCAAAGTGAAAATAGAGTTAATAAAGTTAAATAGAGTTAAGTGAGTAGTGGGATTATGGGCCACATTTTATTTTCTTCTTTATACACTTTTCTGTATTTTAAGAAAGCTAACAAAAATCAATCTATCTATCTATCTATCTATCTATCTATCTATCTATCTATCTATCTATCTATCTATTGGTACTGAGGATTGAACCCAGGGGCACTTAAACACTGAGCCACATTCCCAGCCCTTTTATTTTTTATTGTAAGACAAGGCCTTGATAAGTTGCTTAGGGCCTTGCTAAGTTGTTCAGGCTGGCCTTGAATTTGCAATCGTCCTGCCTCAGCCTCCCAAACTGCTGGGATTACAGATGTGTGCCACCACACCTGGCTAACTGTTTATTTATTTGGTGTGTGTTTTAAGCAGACAAACTCTAGATGAAAGCATTTATTTAGTTTTTCTTTGGGCTTTTTTTAGAATTAACATGATTTTTAATTGACAATCATATTACATTTATGGGGTACAATGTGATGCTTTGATATATGTATACAATGTGGAATGATTAAATCAACATAATTAACATAGCTTTGCTTAATACTTTTTGGAGTGATACATTTGAAATTTACTTTTTTGGGGAGGGTACCAGGGATAGAACTCAAGGGCACTCAACCCCTAAGCCTCCACCCCAGCCCTATTTTATATTTTATTTAGAGACAGGGTCTCACTGAGTTGCTTAGTGCCTCGCTTTTGCTGAGGCTGGCTTTGATCTCACAATCCTCCTGTCTCAGCCTCCTGAGCTACTGGGATTACAGGCATGTACCACTATGTCCAGCTGAAATTTACTTTCTTGCTAGGCATGGTGGTGTGGCCTATAGTTCTAGCTACTTGGGAGCAGAAGTATTGATTAAATCTAGGAGTATAAGCACCTTGGCAGCATAGCAAGCTCCTATCTCATAAGAAATAAAAAGAAGAGAAATGAAATTAACTTTTTTGTTATTTTGAAATATATATTATTACTGAGTATAGTAACCCTGCTGTGAATGGATCTGAAAACTTATCCCTTCTGTCTAGCCAAAACTTTGAACCTGCTGACCAGCAACTCCCTATTCCCTCTCTCTTCCCCCACCAGTGCTCACCAGTCTCTGGTAATCACCAATCAACTTTCTGGTATGAACTCAATTTTTGAGGTCATACTATATTTATTTTTCTGTGCCTGGCTTATTTGACTTAGCACAATGTCTTCAATATTAATCCATGTTGTTCCAAATGACAGAATTTCACTCCTTTTAAAGACTGAATAGTATTCCCATAGAGTACCAAAATTTTCTTTATCTATTCATTCCTTGATGGACACTTGGTTGATTCAATATCTGAGCTATTATGAATAGTACCACAATAAATATGGGATTACAGCTATCCCTTCAACATACTGATTTCAATTTCAACTTTCAATTTATATTCCCATAAATGGAATTGTGGGATCATACGGTAGTTCTAATTTTAGTTTGTTGAGGAACTTTCATACTGATGGCTGTAGTGATTTACATTTCCACTAACAGTGTGCAAGGGTTTCCTTTTCTCCACATCCTCATCAAAACTTATTTTTCTTGCTTTTTTCCATGTTTTATTGGTACATTATAGTTGTACATAATGGTGATATTTGTTGTTACATATCCATACATACACACAATATAATTTGGCCAATATCTTTCCCCAATATTTACTATGCCTTCCCTTTTTCCCTCCCCCTGGTTCCTTTCCTCTACTCTCTTGATTTTCCTTTGATTTTTATGAGATCCTCCTCTCGCACACCTTTCTTTTACATTTTCCTCTCTAGTTTCCACATATGAAGGAAAACATATGACCTTTCACCTCCTGAGTGTGGCTTATTTTGCTTAACATAAGATTCTTAAGTTCCATCCATTTCCTGCAGATGACATAATTTCATTTTTCTTTATGGCTAAATAAACCTCCATTTTATATATATATATATATATATATATATATATATATATATATATATATATATATACTACTTTATAGGTGTAGCATTGCTAAGAGGAAACATGGGTATGCATGCATCGCTGTTGTATGATGATTTTAATACTTTAGGATAAATATTGAGGAGTGGTATAGCTGGGTCAAATGGGGGTTCCATTCCTAGTCTTTTGAGGAACTTCCATACTAATTTCCTTAGTGGTTGTACTAATTTACAATCTCACCAATGGTGTAAAAGTGTTCCATTTCCTCCATATCTTCTCCAGCATTTTTTATTGTTTCTACTTTTTTTTTTTTTTTTAAGTACCAGGGATTGAACTCACGGGTACTTGACCACTGAGCCACATCCCTAGTCCTATTTTGTATTTTATTTAGAGACAGGGTCTCACTGAGTTGGTTAGCACCTTGATATTGCTGAGGCTGGCTTTGAACTGGAGATTCTCCTGTCTCAGCTCCTGAACTGCTGGGATTACAAGCATGCACCTCTGTACCCGGCTATTATTTATATTTTTGATGGCTGACACTCTGTGTGTGGCTCTCTAAACCATGATTCCATCAAGATAGAGACTAAACTCCATTCTTTTTTAAAAAAAATTTTAGTTGTTGATGGACATTTATTTATTTATTTATTTATATGTGGTGCTAAGAATTAAACCCAGTGCCTCACACATGCTAGGCAAGTGCTCTACCACTGAGCCACAACATCAGCCCCAGTAAGGGAGTCAAACTCAACACCACAGTGGTGGCTACCTAATCTATTCTTTTTCACATGTTTAGTACCTAGCACAATGCCTGGCACATGGCAACCACTTAATAAATCATTATTCAGTGTATGGTGAATGGATATTAACTACTTACGAGATAAGTCAATTTTAAGTTTATCCTTCATTTTGACACTTCCAGAATGTATTAGGCTCCTGACAGTAGAAGCATGCTCCTACAAAAGAGGTAAATTGAAAAATCACAAGTGTTAATTGTGTATTCAGCATCAAATAGAAAAGATATATCAAATAGAACCCTCCCTTAAATAAAACCTTACATATCCCAAATGTTTCTAACAATTCCATGTACCAAGAGAGACCATGCATTATATACATTAAATTAGGATAAGGACAACTCCAATTTCATCATTATCTTTTAGTAGCTATAGTTAGTATCTTCTCTCAGCTCTAAATTTCTGCCCCTCTCTACTACCCTTCAGTAGTAGTTGCTAAGGAAAGGCTTTGCTACCATTTACTAGGTATATTAATTAACCCCAACTGGGGAACTATCTTTTTGAGTCCCATCCTTAACACAGCTTCCTAAGCTAAATAATGTTTGAGTATATGTAACAATGGGGGAAGAGATTCAAACACAATGTTTGAGATGAGCTTTGATAGCCTTGCTTGGTGATCAATTCTCAGGAGATAAAGTTCTGGTCCTTCTCACTGCCCCTTTTGAAGTGACAACAACAATTTTAGAAGCCTTATTTTGGCTTTCCAGGAATAGGCTGTTAGTGTTTGTGATAAGTGACTAGATATGTCCCAGTTGTTTTGCCAGGGAATCAACCCATGTGATAGTTGACATATATGCTGCTAGAAGAATATACACAAGAATAGGACTGCTTAGTAGAATATGATTCCTAGGAAATATTATCAGTTTTTATAGCTTGAAATAGAAATGTTACAGAATCCAAGCAGAACTATACTTTTATACCGAAGATATTCTCTCTGAGACACAAAAGTTTCTTACCTGAGGCAGACGCAATATAAACTGGTTCTCAAGTTCATGAGGAGGTTCATCCTGATTTTTACTCATCTCTGTTTTGGGGTTCATGAAAACAAAAGAAAAAAAATAAAACAAGAGAAAGTCACTAGAAACTCCTCTTACTCCCTCTACTGACCACTTTTGATAGTACTGGTTAAATTATACAAGATCTTGCCCATAATCCTCACTAGAATGATGTGTACAGTTCAGCAACATCTTATTTCACATATCTTGATTATATCTAAAATTCCACCATATCTTCCCTCCAAATATGCAAATTTTCCTAAGTCAATCCAAATTACATGATGTAATCTGATAAACAAATGAACTGAGAGCTGTTATGAAAAATGATTTATCTTCTTAATGATATTCTTAGACTCTCCAGTAAGGGAGTCAAACTCAACACCACAGTGGTGGCTACCTAATCAAACTAAATTACCTCTGCATGGAAGAGTATACAAACTAAAGACTAAAATCAATCCAGTAATCACTTGCAGAAGTATTCAAGGATGTTTTGAAATTAACAAAGTTTAAATTTTCAATATTTCATCCACTCTAATGGACCAATAGGAATTAAGCAATCCGTAGGAGAGTAGGCAGATTTTTATGACTCTAGAGGGAGCATCAATAGCACTAAGTTACCTTGGGGGATTTAGGAGTCCAGCTCTCATGGCTAGACTGTCATTATGAGTATACCTAACTTCGTGGAATGGATGCATTTCTGAAGGAGTGATATGAATAGAATAAAATCTCATTCAGTTTATTCATTGTGAACATTTATTATGTACATTCTATGTGCCTTGTACTATACTGAGTGCTTTAAACCTATTATTTCATTTAATCCTTGAAACCACCACTTGTTTGAAATACCCCTAAAAGCTATTTATGTCAATCCTAAGAAGGATCCCTTTATTAAAAAAATACGCTTTCAGATCTAAATAGAATGAGAAATTTATCTCTGCAATTTTCTTTTTTGTAATGTGAATATATATATATATATATATATATAGGAAATGCAATAAATTATGAAAAATAAATGCTGATATTAAAATCAAAAATACACTTTCAGCAAATAAATAATCTTGTCCAAGTAGATAGGGTTTCTGGACAAATAATAATCATATATAATTATGGAGTACTCAGTGATGTTAGTGATCCATGTATACAATGTGGAATGACTGCATTTAGCTAATTAACATATCACCTTATATACCTATAATTTTTTGAGATTCATATTTTATTTACAAGTCAATGAAAAATGTCCTCTCTAAATTCTACTTTGGGATATGAAAAGCAATATAAACATGTGGTTGCTGGCTGCACAGTGAAGTGTGTGAAAGGATTCCATGCCACTGTTTATTTAAACAATGATTCTGTTATTTAAAACAAAGCAAAAACAAAAACAAAATCCCACATAATTTCTTCATGTTGCATATGTGAAATAATGAAAAATAGAAATGACTTTTCAAAACTCTACAGTCTGTTCAAATGTGTTGGGTGACCAAGATGTCACTTTCATTCAATGACAGTCCCTACTCTCCAAAGCATAGCCTCTGAGCAATTACTTAATACTCATCAAGAGTATCTGATCGAGGAATGGACAGATCCTGATCTTTAAGGGCTTGAACTTTCAGCTTCTCTGCTTCTAGCTTAGTCTGCTGTTCAACCCTCTGTTCCTAGATTTCTACAATAGACACTTGCAGGAGAGGTGTATCACTCTCCTTTTCCATGTCCAAATTGATCAATGCTTCTTATAAAGCCTCCATCTTGAAGCAGGACCAAGTGCTTTTTGTCAATGTCCTTGATGAAGCTGGCAATGCCAGGGATATAGTTCATTTTGAGCTGAGATGAGGCTGTAATGTACAGCAGCCACTGCAATTGCAGCCTTGGTGGGACCAGAACAGGAATGTCTTGTTCCAGACCGCTACTTCTGCCTGGCTTTCAGCTGCTGGGGTCTGCCCAAATACTTTTAATTTATTCCTCCTTGCTGAGTGCTACTTTCTACACTTTAACTAACATCTCTCCATCCCCCCACTAGCCTTTTGTGACTATCACTGTACTCTCTGCTTTTATGAGTTTGATTGATTTAAGGTCCACATATAAGTGAGAATATGTGGTTTTTCTCTTTCTGTACCTGGCTCATTTCACTTACACAATGTTCTCCAGGTTCATCTATGTTGCTTTCAAATGACAAAAATTCCTTTTTAATGCTGAAGAGTATTCCACTGTTATATATACCTCATTTTCATTAATAATTTTATCTGTTGATCAACATCTAGGTTGATTCCATAAATTGGCTACTGTGAATAATGCTACAATGAACATGGGAGTGTGGGTATCTGTTTCACATACTAAATTCAAGTCCTTAGAATACATCCCCTGAAGACAGAATACAGGATCCCAAGTTAATAATTATTTATAATCTTTTTTCCATTTATTTAGGATGTATCTGTAATGGCTTGCACTTTGAGAATTAGGGCCCTTGCTTCTGAGGAAGGCTTTTTCTCAAAGGTGAAAGAAAGCAATTACATACATGAAACCTGACAAAGGCCTCTTATGTTCTAAGGACATTATGCTATGCAGGAAATTATAAGATCTTATACCTTTAGTTGGAATAAAAACTTCAGCTAATGAACTAATATTAATAATATTAATATTAACTAATACTAATAATATTAATATTAACTACTACTACTAATAATAATAATAGTATTAGCTAATGAGCTAATACTCTGTAGACCATTAACTGGGATCTGAGTTTTGAATCTGAATCACATAAAAGCACTGGAACCTTCTCTTACCACACAGAAGTAGCTCTGGGACGCTCTTAGGGTGAAGGAATTTACTAGTTATGATTTAACTCCTTCAGTATAACTTGAGAAACTATCAGAAAGGTATCAAAAGTATGAAGAAGAAAAAGAAAGCACCAAGTGATCAGCAGCTGAAAAGCAGACACACAGGGCGGGAGTGGGTGATACATTATTTGTAATAGTCATTTTTTCTCTTTTTTGCTTAAGTGTGTGTGTGTGTGTGTGTGTGTGTGAGAGAGAGAGAGAGAGAGAGAGAGAGAGAGAGAGAGAGAGAGAGAGAAATGAAAATATAAGGAAAAGTTAATTAAATAAAGTAAATGAAATGATGAATCTTGGAGTTGGGTTCATTGCCTAATGGGAAAAAGTAAAGAATAGTTATGGTTGGGAGCAGAAACACAGATTATTCGAAGAACTAGGTACTAAGCAAGATTTTATCTGGTCTGTAGTAACTTTTAGATTTCTCAGCAGAACTAAGATTAGCACATTTTGTTCATGTTATTGCTTTTCTGACAACTGCTCTTTTTTATGAAAGAAAGAATTTAATAAGTGAAATTATTTAAAAATAGTTCCTGTAAATCACCCAAATAAAAGGTCTGGTGAAGAGAAGATGGAAACCCTGATGGAATGAGTTTTAATTAATTTTAAATTTGTTACCTTCATTAACCCAAAGTACTGTATGGCATTTACTCTAAGAAAGGACATCTACTTTTTCCCAGTAAGAACTGTTTGATGCCTAATTAAATTCACAGGTTCACCCTCCACCATCAGCCCTAGCTCCATCTCACTTTAATAGAATTACAATTTGAATTTAACTAGACAGAGCCTGTTTAGCAGCACCCTCCAGGCAGTGCAAGTCAATGCAAACCTAGGTCAGTATTTTTTTTTTCACGTTTATGGCCGTAGGCTACAGTTTGGAGGCTGTAACCACTATCTCTCGGTCCTTATTCCTGGAGCACTAAGATTCCAAAGGTAAAGTTCAGCTTACCTTGAAAATCTCCCATAGCCTTCACACCTCACCATCCAGTATTGCTGGAGCGGGCAACACGCCAGAACCCCCTGCCCACTGCCCAACTCACCCACTCCTCCGCCGACTCGCGCTCCTACCGGAAAGGCTGTGCGGGTTGGGACCCGCCTCTCTTGCCAGGTGGGTTCCCGGCAAGCCACGAGAAGGCTCCCGCTGGGGCCGTACGGGCGTCGGAGCGGGAGGCACGCGGAAGAAGCAGCCGACAGGTTGAAGAGCCCCGCTTGCGAAAGGAAAGGCAGGCCGCTTCCCGGAGGCAGCCGGCTCCCGCGTGTGGGGCGGGAATGCTTGAAAGGCGTTAAGCATTGAGAGAAAGCAATGACTTAGGGGCCACGTGGAGCAAGACCGAGGCTTTCAAAACAAGTTACTTTTTACACATAAGGGGAACGTCTGGCCGCCAGAGAATTTTTACCAGTACAAAGTAAAAAGAATGGTGCATTTGACTGCTTCTTGATTCCGTTAGGTTGGACAATTTGTCACTAGGCTAGGTGACCTCATTTGATGACAAATACACCACCATGCAAACTCATTAAATAAAGTCCGCTTCAAACTCCTTTAACATGATAAGCCACTCCCTTTTCCTCTTCAAAATCATTCTTTTATCTACATATTTTTATGTACATATTTCTACCACAGTGGGGGTGGGTAGCAGTTTGCTTCTCCCAAAGAAGATACCCAGATTGTGGGGTGAGGGGAGAATTTTAAAATCCACTTACTTTTGACTTCCTGTGGGTTTTCCAGAGTAGTTTTGTCAGCTGGTGTGGTGCTACTATCGGCATCGGTTTTAGCACCTTGATCGGCAAGAATTTCTGTGCTTTTGTTGCCGTCAGTTTCCGCGCTGCACTCGCAAACAATTTCAGCACCATGGTCCACAGAAATCTGGGACTCTTGGTAGTTCATTACTTCCAATGTTGGAGCTATTGTTGAATCATTTTCTGAGGAACTGGGGACCTCTCCCTCAGGGCACTCCATGATCCACTTCGATGGGGGTTGGAATCATAAAATGGCTTCCAGTTTAGTCATGTGACCTGGAATGTTCCAGAACTTTCATAAAATGATGACAGAGTTATGTTTCTTAAAGACATAGAGATACCACTAAAGACATTTTGATGCTTGTTAAAGATTGAAGCTGTAAATTCTCTACAGCTGACCTCTGATCTAACATAAGTGTAAGGAATATTTTTGTATAACAATTTCTTATAGATATATGATTTTTTTCATTCAGTTATGCTTGACTATTAGAGCTTTAGATCTAGACAAAATAGTTTTGATCCCTTTTAGAACCCATCCACTGATCTTTATTTTGGCATTATACTGTCGGGCTACCAAGAAACCAGTTTTGCATTTAGTATAGAATATGCCAGACTACCTTTAATAATGACTTGAAGGAGAATTCTATTTTTGATTAATAAAATGGCTTAGTAATTGTTTGGAATCATATAGGTAATATAAATAATGTAATTAACGTTCTTTGTAATGGATGCTACAAAGCTCAAAACCAAGTTTGCAACTCTCCTCTAAAAACTATGGGCCTTGTTGGCATCTGTCAACCTTTCCCTTATTTTAAATACTACTTTCTTTAGGAATCCCCTAAAAATTTTATCTTGCACAGTAAATAACAGTGAAAACTGCTCAATCCCCCCTTTTTAAGAATAAGATATAAATGTTATAAAATGAAAATAGTGCCCTGACAAAAGTGTCTCAGGAAGCATCCCCGTGGGTTAATGATGACAATACAGTGAGAAACTGTTCCTTAATAAATTTAATCATCCAGAAAATGTTAATTGATAATTTAATGTGCCAGATCTGACTTGAAATACTTATCAAATGCCTAAAATATGGCTTATCATGAGAAGGAGGCAAAATTATCCTTGTCACATGTCTTTAATCCCAGCAACTGGGGAGGCTGAGTAAGGCAGATGGCAAGTTCAAAGCCAACCCCAACAACTTACTGAGACTCTGTCTCAAAATAAATAAATAAAAGTGGCTGAGGATGTACTTCACTGCTAAAGCACCCTGGGCTCAATTCCTAGTAGAAGAAAAAGAAGGTGGGGGAGAAGAAATCTACAATCTAGTTTGAAATACAGGTATACACGTATGCAATTTTCCACTTATTGCTAGATTTCCAACCACTTCTTAATTAAAAGGGGAATGAGAAGTGGAAGAAAGAATAAGGCAAGAATTATGGTTTCTCTTGGTAGAGGAGAAGTGATCCAAGAAGCAACATGATGTACAGATTTTAAAAGTATCACGTACATGCTATCATATTGTCAAGTCCACATAGAATATATTTCTGGTTGTATTCTGTCATGATGCTCTTTCTTTCCATTAAGTTAATCTACATCCTTTCTCCCTTGGAAAACATTCCTCTCCATCCCCAAGTACAGCCTCAATAAATTTCATCATTTTAGCAAATATGAGTTATGTATGCTGCTTTAAAATAAATTAATTGAGTTATGTACCAAAACATCTTCTAATGTCAATAATAACTAACATTCATTGAGCACTTTTTATGTATTAAGGTCTTGGCTAGGGCTTTATATGCATTATCCAATTTAACCCTCACAATTGCGTTGTGAGTTTATTTTTTCATATTTTATAATTTCTATGATGACTTAACTGAGATTTCAAAAGATTAATTAACTTGGCACATTCCACACATCTAGTAAATGACAGAATCAATATTTACTTGAAGATAGGTCCATTTGACTCAATGTGTCTACCTACTCAGATCTCTCCTGCATAATTAGATGTTTAGTTATCCCCCACCACCCCCTCACCCCATCCCCTGGTAACTTCTACTTTCAGTCTCTATGAATTAATCCATTCTAGATACCCTTTATAAATGAAATCATGCAGTATTTGTCCTTTTGAGTCTGTTTTCACTCACTTAGCATGATGTTCTCCAGGTTCATCTGTGCTGTAGCATGTATCAGAACTTTATTCCCAGCCAGATGTAATGGAGCACTCCTTGTAATCCCAATGACTCAGGAGGCTGAGGGGTGGAGGATCACAAGTTGAAACCCAGCCTCAGCAACTCAGTGAGGTCCTAAGCAACTTAGCAAAACCCTGCTTCAAAATAAGAAATAAAAAGGGCTGAGGATGTAGCTCAGTGGTTACATGCCCCTGGGTTCAATACCTGGTACCAAAATAAATAAATAAATAAATAAATAATTTTATTCTTTTTAACATGTCTCATGTTTATGGATTCAGACGATTAATATTATTAAAACGTCCATACTATCCAAAGCAATCTATAGATTCAATGCATTCCTCTTTCAAATACCAATGACATTCTTCACAGAATTAGAAAAAAACAATCCCAAAATTCACATGGAAACATAAAAAACCCTGAATATCCAAAGCAATCTTGAGCAAAATCAGCAAAGCTGAAAGCATCACAATATCTGATTTTTAAGACATACTACAGAGGTATAGTAACAAAAACAGCATGGTATTGGTGTAAAAACAGATACATAGGCCAGGGGTACATAATAGACTACTCAGAAATAAATCCATGCATCTTCAGCCAGCTGATTGAGAGGTTGTTAATAAAGTTTGAGGAGTTTTATTTTAATTGTTTTAATGCTTTTTTTAATGTTCAGAATGTTTAGGGGAATATAACTTTTTTTAACTGAGAATTGAAACTTATCACTGAGGTACAGCCCCAGTTTTTAAAGGTTAGTATAATACAAATTTTAATTTTATTCTAGGGCATTATAGTTATATATAGTAGTAGGGTTCATTTTGATAAAATCATATATACATGGAATTTTTATTAACTCCATTTCAGTTCCCATTCCTTCCACTTTCTCTCCAATTCTCCCTCCCCTATTCTCTGTACTTCCTCTACATTACTGATCTTCCTTTTGTTCATTTATTTATTTTTTTAACATTTATTTTTTTAAGTAGTTGGACACAATACCTTTATTTTATTTATTTATTTTTATGTGGTGCTGAGGATCAAACTCAGGACCTCGTGCATGCCAGACGCACACTCTACTGCTGAGCCACAACCCCAGCCCCTGTTCATTTATTTTTTACTTATTTTTATTTCAGCCAACTGATTTTTGACAAAGTTTCCAAAAACATACATTGAAGAAAGGACAGCCTCTTCAACAAATGGTGCTGGGAAAACTGGATATGCACATGTAAAAGATTAAAACTTTACCTCCATCTCACACCCTATACAGTAATTGACTCAAGGGCTGGGGTTGTGGCTCAGTGGTAGAACACTTGCCTAGCATGTGTGAGGCATTGGGTTCTATTCTCAGCACTGCATATAAATAAATGGGAAAAAAAAGGTCCATGGACAACTTAAACAACAACAACAAATTGACTCGAAATGAATCAAAGACCTTAATGTAAGATCTGAATACACTGAAATTAGTAGAAGAAAACATAAGGGAAACATTTCAAGACATTAGAACAAGCAATGATTTTCTGAATAGGATTCCAGTAGCTCAGGAAGCAAAAGTAATAATTGACAAATGGAATGACATCAAATTAAAAGCTTCTGCAAAGCAAATGATTCAATAACGTCAAGAGACAATCTATGAATGGAAGAAAATCTTTGTCAGCTAGTTATAAAAGAGTGTCAAATTTTGTCATGAGATGATAGTGTGTTTTTCCCATTAATTTTATAAAGTAGTATATTACATTGATTTCATATATTGAAACATTCTTGCATTCCTGGAATAAATTCCTCTAAGCCATGGTGTATTACCCTTTGAAAAATTTGCTGAATTCTGTTTTTGAGTATTTTATTAGGGATATTTGCATATTTGCAAGAATATTGGTCTGTAGTTTTCTTGTAGTGTCTTTGATTTTAGGGTAAGCTGACCTCATAGTGTAAGTATTTTGGAAGAGTTTGAGAAGGACTGTTGTTGAGTTTTTTTTTTTTTTTTTTTTTTAATGCTTGGTAGCATCTCCTTACTAATTGTAAGCCTGTTGTAGAATCTTAAGCAAATTTACTTTAACAATAAGATGCTTGACTTAAAGGAAAGCTAAGTCTGTTTAATTAGGGTAATTTTCCCCTACTTAATGACATATTGCCCTACATACAACAGCTATATACAAAATGTTATAAAATTGTTCTAAGTTTCACAATGACAAATGAAAAAAAAAAAAAAACCTTAAAATTCTCCAAACAAGGTATACAAGGATTTTTGCATGCTTTTATTTTTGTTGTTGTTAAAACAGAGCAAAACAAGTTACTGGAATATAAGAAGCTGAATGAGCCTGCCACTAATGGAGAAATGATAATTTCACAGAACCACTGTTTTTCCCCCATTCCATTTTCATTTGATGTCAATCGAAACATACTATCAGCCAGTTAGTTTTAAAAAATACAATGTGCTTGTGCACAAACACCAGTTATTTTATGTACATTAAAGGAAGGGGGAAGGAAAAAATGAAAGAATAGAAAACACTATTTTATAGTAATCAGGATGTGGCAGAACCAAATTGCAGTTTCCTAATTGAGAATGTGTTTTTGGTCTGTAGTGGGTTCCCATTTTAGTAGACAACTCCTGTCTGCAGCTGGAATATATTGATTGTATTTTTTTTTTTTGTACCAGTGATTGAACCCTGAGGTGATTGAACCACAGAGCCACATCCCAGCCCTTTTAATATTTTAATAGAAACAGGGTCTTGCTGAGTTGCTTAGGGCTTCACAAAGTTGCTGAGGCTGGCTTTGAACTTGTGATCCTCCTACCTCAGCCTCCTGAGTCGCTGACATTATAGGTGAGTGCTACTGCACCTGGCTATTGATTGTATCTTAATCTTCCATATCCAACTCTGCAGGTGTGTCTGTTTCATTGATTGGATACTTAACAGATCACAATCTGATGTACCTCATTAACAAATCCTGTTGTTCACATTAAACTTTCCTTAGTTTACTAAGTGATGTATCTTAATCTTTTTGTTTTCTTTTTGCTATTCTGGGGATTGAATCCAAGGGAGCTTTACCA